GACTTGTTAATGTGGAGCTTGGGGGAAAGTGAGGGACAGTGATTCTGAGGTGTGTGGCTATCATCAGGAGGGGAGGCTGGTGCCCATTACATGGAGAAGGCTCTCTAGGAGGGATAGGGACAGAGAGGCTTTGGGTGCCAGGAGCCCTGGGGATTCGAGGTTAAAGTGAATGCTTGCCCTCCATGTGCCCTCAGTTCGGTGACTAGTGTGTGGGTGGACTGTGGCTGCTAGAACACAGGGCCACGTGTGACGACAGAGGTGCCACACAGGTCCGTGGGTGGGGTACCTGGGATTGCCTGCCACAGCTGGGCTGGTTGCTCTGGAGCTGTTCTGGGGCTTCTTTCCATCAGGGTCACCTGGAACGGCATCTCCCTGAGCATTCTGTGTGACGTTGCTGATTGGGAGGGCACAGGCGACCAGTCATTCTCTGCAGGAAACCCAAACAAGACAACATTTCAGCAGGGTTTCTTGAAGTTCCCACGATGTCTGGCTGATCAGCAGGGCTTTCCTTTAGTGGAGCAACCTCCAGTGTCTTAACAGCCATTTGCCTCCACTGTCCTTCCCGGGGACGATTGGGGGGCTCCAAAATGGAGAGGGGCTGGGGACCACCTTGCTCAAGGAGCTGAAAGCCCTGTGGGGGTTCAATGGGGAATGTTTGCAAGAGGTTGTTTAGCAATTGTTCTGCCTCTTGGCTAGCAGAGGAGGGAGTCCGGTGTGAGATGGAGGAGCGGCCGTGTGCATGTGTGCATGCGTGTGTGTGTGTGTGTTGGCTGGTTGTCTCGTGGTTGTCATCGTTCTTCCCGGATGCTGGAGGACGGCTAGAGGCCTTAGGAACCTGTGCTCTTGCCCGAGGTACAGGCCTTCAAGGGGCTTTTCCTGTTGGGGGTAATGTCTTTCCTGAAAGACAGCCGGCATCTGAGTAACAGCTGGATATGAAAGCCTTTGGCCATTGTTTTCTTTTTCTAAAGAGAATTCCGCTGGACTTAAGAGGAAACAATTCACTGAAAAGTGGATTGGCCCACGTTGCCAGCTAAGTCCTGCCTGTCATTGGGCTGACTGGACAGAGCTGTATATGGGTTATGGTTTTGAAGGATATTGGGTAGAATTCCTTTCTTAAAAACATCTAACCCCAAACCAGCCCCGAATAACCAGAATTTGAAACAGAGAGCTTTCCCCCACCCATATTTTCTATGAGGACTTTGGGGGTGGAATCCTCCCATGTCCCAGGTGGAGGAGATCCTTTGGGGGGTTCCAAGTCACAGCCTGTCCTCTAGATGTAATGAAAGAGACCCAGAGGAAAGAAATGACCCAAAGTCACACGGTAAAATGACCAGGACCGATATCAGTATAAGATGGAAAGCAATAGTGTCTTAAAAAGGCTACAAAGCCAACGATATGGGCTTTAGAAGATAGGGGAGTATCGGACTGCCAGGCTGCCTGATGCATGATGGAGCGGGCTTTGCGTGGAGCAGGGCTTTAGGAGAGAAGGTCCGTGGTGGAGGTGAGGTCAGGTAGAGGAAAAGCACACATGGCAGGGCTGGGAAAGCGTGCGATTTTAGAGACTGACGGGCAGTCCTGTTGGGCTGAACTCCAGTACCGTCATCCCACAGAAGGTATGGAGAGCGTCTCCTGCAGTGAGCAGTGAGTCGGGGAGGTGGGCGTGTGCTCTGCGGCGTGGTGTGAGGTTTTCGAGAGCCCACGGATCACAGAACCAGGCTCAGGCCAGATCCTTTGACTAAAAGCCCAGTGTTTTATCTGTAGCACCGATCTGCCACCCTTGTGAGGGGTTTTGGTGTTGGGGCCTACGTTGGAGAGGGTTGCAAATGCTCAACGAAGGGGCCCGGACTTGATTCAACAAACAATAAGCAGTTTGCTGTTTTGAGTGGGAGAAACCTGATGCGAGCTAGCTTGCACAATCAGGCCGGAGTGGGGGGATGCATCAGAGGCCTGGGTGCCTACCCCAGGGTGGCCACAAAGACAAACAGGAGCATAGTTGAGCCTCCTACTCATGAGGGACTGCACTGGGATAATCAGGGGTCAAATTAGTGAGTGACCTTGGCCAATGTCAGCTAGCTAATTACTGCAAATGAGGTCCCAGTGTGTTTTTAATGCCCATGTTCTGGTTGCCAGGTGTGAGTTGGAAGCAAAGCTAATATACATAGAACAAGAAAGTGCTGCTGTCCATCATCGCTCAGGCCAGCTTACAGGCTGTCACCAAACAGTGTATGTGTGTACTGTACCCTTTGTGCCCCTAGCCCGCCAGTGGATTAGGGGTGGGAGGGGCCCGTGTATGCAGAAGTGTGGGGAAGCTACATAAAGTTCTCCAGTTAAAAATATTTGAGAATGGTCAAAGTCAGGGAGGTGTCAGAAGGTACTTGTTGGTCTGAGAAGAGGTAAATTTACCTGACTTTATCCTACATGTCAACATCACCTCTAGTAGCCATCAAATGAGGCAGCAGCTAGCACTCCTGGCCATAGCCCGCACTTCCTCAGGCTCAACAGCCTTGAATGTAAAGACTTGTTAAAACTTGGGGAGATTTATAACTCTTGTAGTATCTCGGCCACGTGCATGCATTTTCATCAGAGCATCAGAATTTGCCTCTGCATCCTGCCCGTCTCGTTTCCCCGCCTTGATTCTGTCTTTTGAGTTCCTGACAGGTTGTTGTCCTGTCAGCCAGCCCCCATTCTTGAATTCCTGACCGCTTGCCTTAGAGTGGCCTGCTTCTCCTCAGACTTTGCTGCCTCCTGCAGGAGCTGCTCTCTTTCCTGAGCCCAGTGCCTGACCTTTCTGCAGTTCCTTCCCAGTGATGCACAGGGCAGTTCCCATCTTGACACTGCAGGTGAAAAGTGACCCGTGTCCTGGGTCTGTGCCTTATTTGTGCCAGCTGTGTTCTGTGTCTCTGCCTAGGCCAGTCTGCTATGTGCGCGCTGTTGCCGCAGGGAACTGGACAGTGCTCACCCCTGGCCCCCGCTGCTCCCGTTCATACTCCCCTAGCATCCGTGTGGTACTGCCACAGAGCCTGCTTGAATTCCTTGGACAGTCTCTACTTCTGCTTTCCATGTGACCCTCTGCTGAGGAGTAAGGCACAGACGCAGGCTGTGCTCATTATTGATTGATTTTAGGTCGAATGTAGGGGCCTGAGGCCAAGCTTCAGACCTGGGCGTGTGGCTCCTACAATTCACCTCTCTTTATTATGGTTACGGGCGCGTTCTGAAGCTGGCATCCAGCGCGGGTCTGTTTCGGAAGTCTATGGTCCAGGGCTGGAGGTCCAGCTGGTTACTCTGAGTCATTCGGGAGGGCTGTGCTTCTGAGCTGTTTTCTAGGGAGTTGATTATGAAGTATTGAGAGGAGAGGTGACACCGTCACGATCTCCATGGTCTGGTGGATGTATACAATGAAAACGAGTGAACCTGGGAAATACAAGCATTGTCCACAGGCTTCTGGAACTACAAGGGATCTCAGAAAGCCACTTCTTACTCTTCCAGATACTAGGCAGGATTTGCCTTTGTTCTTAGGAAACTGGTTGTGGAACCAATTGGGAAGATCCCTTGTGTTTTCCCCATCTTCAACGGGGAACCAGCCCCCTGTGTTTATTCTGATCCCTCCCCAGCTGGTGACAATGGTTTGTGTGAGCTAAGACCACATTGCCCTTTGCTGACATTGAACAGTGGCTCTCGGTTAGGGGTTCTTCAGCCCAGCTACCACAGCTGAGTGCCCGGTGCTCCCACCCCCCGCCCGGATCTCTCCTATCTTTCTAGTACTCTCCTAGCTGACATCGGTGTCATCACGCTGCTTTCCTACATCTTGACTGTCAGCCCAGATCAGAAGCAGGGCCAACATTCCTTCCCCTGTGCTGATAAGCCACAGTCTACCTGTGTTGGTGATTAGCACAGTGGGGCAGGCGGCCAGTGGTGGCTTCTCCGTTCATTCTGCAATGGCCTGCTCTGCCCAGGAAGCCCCCGGAGCTGGTGTAAGTAGTCGTGGGCCGGGGCCAGGAGGGCTGTGTCATAAACCCACCTCCATGCTCCGAGGCTTTCTTACCTGGGATGGGGTGCTGGTTAATCCCTAGGAGCATATATTCTATGCCATGCACTGTTAGAGGGACTGGAGATGAGAGCAGAGTGCCTGCCTTCCGGGCAGTGGATCTGTGAGCTGGATGTAGGTGGCTGACTATAGCCCTTACGAGCCATTCGTTAGCCAAACCTGTGCCCCCCCCACATGTGTTCTCGCCCCATGCTTGAACACGCACATTCCTTAGAGATCGGATAGGCTGCTCTCTGCATTACCTGCCTGTCCTTCTGCCGTCTATTTTAAAGGGATAAATATAGATGCATTTTTATCTGGTATAGAGGATCTGCTTTCTGCCTTCCATTTAGTCTTACTGAAATCCTTCTCACTGCAATTGATAGCTGTTTTATCTAATTCTGATAAACTTGAAGCAAGATCACTCTGGTGGTTAATAGCATGCCTTTTAGGAGACATACATATGAGCAAGAAATTTGAAACTATCTGTTGGCACGCTGGGCTGAAACACGAGAGGAAAAGATCCTTGTTTTTGAAAAGTTGTAACTTACACGGTGGCCCCGGATGGGCATGCCACAAAATCAGAGGTGAGACTGTGTACCTGCAAAGGCACGTGTGTGAATTCTCAGGATGTGTGTGTGTGTGTGTGTACGCGCACATAAAGGAACAGGTGAGGGGGTACTGCCTCCCCAGAGGAAGTGTGGTTGTGACCAGCTGGCCCCACCCCCCTTGCCGAGGGCCCTTAGGAAGGACGTGTGCCTTTTGTAAGCCCTCCTCCGAACTCTCCTTTCTCCTGCTTGTGGATCTTATGCAAGCATGGGAGGGAGGGCAGACTGTCTTGACGCTGTCCCTCGTATTTTTCCTTCAGAAAAGATGAGATGATCTTGATCAAGCTCAGGCCCTTGTCCACAGAGTCCATGGAAGGCAACAGAGCCCTTCCACAGCCACCCACTGACCAGAACTTTTTCCCTTCCAGAGATGAGAAGAACCAGTCCATCATAGTCAGCGGGGAGTCTGGAGCCGGCAAGACCGTGTCAGCCAAGTACGCAATGCGCTATTTTGCCACGGTGGGTGGCTCAGCCAGTGACACCAACATCGAAGAGAAGGTCCTGGCATCCAGCCCCATCATGGAGGTAAAGCCTTCCAAACACACTTGGCCTTTCTGGCTGGAGCTTCTTTGTCCAGCAGCCAGCTGCTGGGTGACCCACCTCATGCGGTCGCCCACCAGAGTCTGTGGAAGCGGCTCACGTGGTCCACATTCCTGCCGTTCTTGTAGAGCCCCATGTCTCCCAGTAAGGAAAGAACGCCAATGGTGCCCCTAAGAGCATGGATTTGGGAGGTAATCTCTCCTGGTAGCCTCCTTCATGTCCCCAGTACCGAGTGGAGTGTCCTCTTCATGCCAGCCTTGTTCCCAGACTCTGAAATGCTCTAGTGAGCATCATTCCATCCCGCCTCCACCTCTGTAGCTGTTCCCTGTCACCAGCCATCGTGTGTCAGCAGGTCCCTGCTTCCCCCCCACCATCCGGGACTTTGAAGGCCTGCTGGATCAGGAGGGCAGTGCGAACGGGCGTGGGAGGCTGGGTGGGGGGGAAAGGTAGAGCCAAGAGCTCTGTGACAGCAGGGAACCTGCTGATCCTCGGGAAGCAGTTATCTAGATGGCATGAACGGCTGGGGCCTTCTGTCTCTCCTCAACACCCCAGCCCCAGAGCAGTCAGTACAGGTACAAGGCCAGAGACGTTTCCTAAAACTTCAGTCTTGCTGTAACTCCCCGGGTGTCACGGTTGGAACTCCATTTCTCTTTTTCTCTCTCTTTCCTCCATAAAAACTTAATTCTGATAAAGTAAATCTAAATGGGTATACAGTCCCTGGGCCAGCTTTGATTTCCTGCCTCTGAAGTAGAGGCTCTTGGTTATTGTCTGGGTTACAGTCTGATGGGCCCCCACCAGCCCAGGGCTGCTCCTTGTTTTAGGAAGAAGAGATTGAGTTGAGGCCAAAAGCTGCCAGGATAGTGTCAGATTCTCTGCAGGGCCTTGAACTAGGTCATTTAAGACCCAAGTCGCCAAGGTGGTTAGTCTTTCAGGTCGTTTTGGAGCTGAGGGAAACGAGAACCTGCCGGGACCTTCCTAGATCCCCCTCTCGCCCCACCCCCTTCCTTTACCAAGTGCGTGACTAAAGACTGAGCCTCAATTCCTAGGAATTCATTGTTTTTTGTGGGTATAATCTGCCTACACAGTTGGATTATCTGGAGAACTTTGATTCTCTGTTGACTAACAGGACATAACATAATCATTAACAATTCAACAAAAGCAAGTTCATGGAAACTTGGAATTCTATGGAATTCTTACATGGATTGGAGAACGGTTAGTACAGTTGGAGGCGTTTTTACCAAAAATATAGGAGCAAGAAGACTTTTATTCTCTTATAATGGTTCTTAAACTCAAGTGCATCAAAGTCACCTGGAGGTCTTGTTAAACCAGTCTGCTGGGCCCCAGCCCCCCCAGAGTTGCTGATTGAGAAGGTCTGGGTAGGGTACCCCCAATTTGTCTTTCTACAGCCTACTGATAATTGTTGCACATTTGGGTCTGTTTCTTTACAGCCTTTTCACTGAATATTATAGTCATAAGCCTTTTCTCTGTATCATTGAGGTTTTTTATGAATCGTCTTATTAGCAGCAAACATGTTAATTTTGTCAGACCTGCAACTAGTTAGTGGCCCATTTGTTCATAGCATTTATTCTAAGCCCAAGGTTGGGGCCTGGCCATGGCCTCAATCAGAATGTGATGGTGGACCATGGCCTGGCCTGCCCGAGACCATCCATGCACCTAAACGGAGGCAGTTAAGATTGTGCTCTATGATCAGCATCGTGTTTCATCTCAAATGGGAGTCAAACCAGGCTCTCAGCTTCTCCTTTGCCCCTGAGTTTCAAAACTCAGGCCATTTTTAAGGTAATAAGGTTTCAAAGACCCAGAGTGCTGCCTCTTTTAAGAAATAAAGAAGGTAATTTTTCCGGGCAAAACAGAGAAGGGAGGAAATCTGTTACATCTTCGGTGCCTGGACAAAGTAATTTAAGTCGAGATGAGAATTTAATGAAGGTAGATCACCCCATTATTAAACATGTACGAGACACAAGAGGATTTTTTAATTGATTTATTGTGGTTAAACATACATAAAATTTACCCTTTCACTATTTTAAATGAACAATTGAAGGGTCTTAAGTACATTCGTAGCATTGGGCAACCATCACCACCATCCATTTCTAGAACTCTTTAATCATCCCAAACTGTACCCATTAAAGAATAACCCTGTTCTTCTCCACCAGGCCCTTATAACCTCTCTTCTACTCTCTGTCTCCATGAATTTGCCTGTTCTAGGCACCTCATATAAGTGGAATCATACAATATTTGTTCTTTTATGTCTGGCTTACTTAATGTTTTCAAAGTTCATGTGTGTTACAGAATGTAGGAGTGTCCCCTTCCTTATTATGGTCAGATGATACTTTGTTGTGTGGATAAGACCACGTTTTGTTAATCCATCCCTCTGTGCATGAACTGCTTGGGTTTCCACCTCTTGGCTGGTGTGAACAAGGCCACTGGACAATGGCATGCAAGCCTATGACTCCCTGCTTTGGGGGTGGTTTTCAAATGATAGAGGTCTGTCTAAAACAACCTAACATGTTCAGTAGCTCTTACATCGTGAATGGACTGGTGCACTGCTGGGGATTGGGGGTACTTTGGCATGGGAGAGGTGGGGGAGCAACTCGCACACCCCAAAACATGCATTCGTGGTTTGGTTGCTAAGGTCTAGAGGAGGAGTGTGTGCATGGAGCAGCCTCCTCGAGCCTGATGTCACATAAAAGAACGGTGCAGTGGTTTGGGCTCACGACATTAAATTTCTACCTTGTGCAAGGTTCTACTTTGGAAACTCTGGGTAATTCCCTAGGGCTCCTTCTGTCAGATGATGGAATCTGGTCATCATGGAGATTGTCCCTTGAGTTTTTAAGTGTTCTCCATGAGAGAAGTCTTGGACAGAAACATGGCAAGGGAGCATCGTAGCCAAGAAGAACTCTGGGCGGGTCAGAAAGTGATTCTGGGCCTAGAAAGAGCAACTTCTGCAGCGCCAAAGCCTTCCTCTTCACAACTTGGGGGTCTAGGCAGGCCTGTGTGTCAGGAAGCCCAGTCAGCTCTGTGGCTCCTCAGAAGGTTGGAGGCAACACCAGGTACATCTTCCCCGGGGGCCAGCCGGTTCCTGATGACTCAGCTCCCGTCCCAACCAAGCAGTCCGCTGTGCTCCCGCCATCTCCTTCTTTCCACAGCTGCCTCCTGGGGAGACCGTCGAGGACGGTCCAAGGAAATGGAATCCCCAGCGAGCTGCACTAAGTGACAGTGGCTTGAATTAAAGGCGACTTGAGGGTGGGTTGGGATGATTCATTCTTAGCACCAGAGCTCTCTGACCCCGCTCCGTGTGAGCTTGCCAGCATCCGGGAGTGGTTTGTTCGTGAGTCTGCACTGGCTAAGAGACTGTTAGAGCAGAGGCAGAACCAAGTCCAGGTCGGAGGGGTCACGTGGCTTTTTGGAGTGCCCAGTGTCTACACCACACAAGTCAAGGAGCCAGAGACTGCCCCCATCCCGGGAGAAGGAGGATACTGTGAGGGTACAGTGAGCAAAAATCATCTCAACTAAGACCAGTTACTATGTAATTCAGGAATTTAAGGTTTTTCCTTTTGAGCTAAAGAAACAGTGCCTGCAGCTGTCCACCTCTTCATACAAGAATCTGCGCCCAGACTCACTCACGGAGCCCGTCTCTTATCTCACACGCCGCACACTCTCGCCGTTCCGCACGTGCACCTGCCCTGACCCTTGACTCAGGCCAGGGCCGTAACTAGAACCCCTCCTCCTCCCCACTAGCAAAACTCGATTCCCCCTTTAATATCCTTGTCAGCTTACACCCCTCCAAGCCACTCGCGTTGTGCCAGCCTTGGCTAACTGCTCCCTGCTCTGTGCCTCCACACATTGATACGTCCCTCGTTGTTGTATAATCCTCATTATATGGAAACTACTCCATTTGCTCTTCCTCTTAGCACGTGCAGGAACAACAGAGAAGGTGGTTCTCTTATGTACTGTGTGAACGGTAGCGTATTTTGTCATTTTGCAACTCTTTCCCTCAACATCTTTTAATTTTATCCACGAATCATGCTCTAGTTCACCTATACCGGCTTTATAATGTCCCATGGTGTGCATCCACTACACGTTATCTGTTCCCCTACTAGTGGGCATTGAGGATGAATTTTTTTTTTTATTAGTAATTACAACCTGTGCCAAAGATTTCTGTGCTTACTCATGTGTGCACTACATGTTTTTCCAGGTAATATGTAGAAATAGACTTGCTGAACTGTGAGGTACGTGTGTATTCAGTTTTACTAGATAGGTCCAGTGACTTCTCAGAACAGTGGTTCCAGTTCCCATTTGAGCCAGCAACAAATGGGAGAGTTCCCTTGTCCTCACATCCTCCTCGTTTTGTTGTGTCCGATTTCCTAGTCCCAGCCCCTCCCCATTTGAGTCTGCTGTTTTCCAATGTCCAGTGAGGTTACCTTTTCTCAACACTTGATCATGTGAGTGTCTGCCGTGAATTTCCTGTTTATACTGTTTGCTCATTTTCCATGTTGTAACCACTTGGGTTACGTCCGCTTTTTCCCCTTGGTCTGTGGGACTCAAGGTTAAAACCTGTTTTTCTTATCTATGATAACTCATCAAGACATTTCCTAAGTCCGTGGGAAATCAGAAAAAATCTAGCAAGCGTTTAAAAGATGCAGAACTGCCTGTGTGTCCTTCACGCACAGGATCTAGGAGTCCTAGGGTAGAGTTGATGGGTTGGGTCATAATAACCTCTTCTCTTTGTGGGTGCCATTACATATTTTTAAAGTACTTCTAGATCTATCACTTCTCAAAGCAGCCTAGTGAGGTAAGGAAGCTAGACCTCTCTGGATCGACTGTGATCTCTAGACCCTGGGCAAGCTTTCCCCTAAGCCATCACAAGGAGTGGTGTCAGGTATGGCAAAGGCTCTTCTTGCCATTTTACGAATTATGGAGTTTGAATATTTTGAAATTTTTGCATTGAATTGTATTTGTTGAAACTAGATGGTCTTTGAGAATGTTCCACAAACTGGACTTTGCCGGTTTTATCTTCCTGATGCTGATTAACGTGTCCTTTGTCCTCTGTGTTTCCTGTAAAAGGGCTGTAAAATTCAGAAGCTTGATTAAATTAAGGTTGGATTTTTGGCACACGTTGGGGCCATCACACCAGGGGGACCTGGATGGGACGTGGGTGTGTAGAGTGCAGGCGCCCGCAGACCGGACGCGTTCTGTAGTGCAGAGCTAGGCTTAGGTTTCTGTGAGTGAGCAGCTGCATGACTCACGGCCTCACCGGACTCATCTCAAGAATGGGAATGGGGTATTTTCGTGAGGATGTGTTATTGCGATCTTTAAGCAAGGATTTGCTTTCAGCTGCCCTGTTTGCCTTGTTACAACAGATACCAGCTGAGCTTGTGTAGTTTTGGAACACCGGGAGGCACTAGTGGCTCTGTGGCTTGGATCCGGCTGAGAAGGGGTGGAGGGACAATCTGGGTTTGGATCTTCTTTCAGCCTCTGTGTCCCTCAAATTTCATAGACAACTTTTTCAAGCATTTCAACCACCTAAAAATGTAAACATGTGAAAGGGATTAAAGTTAAAATAGTAATATATTCATTACCAATCCATTAGCAATGTGATGCTTTGTAGAAAGTGAATAATCGTGCCAAGCCATTTAGTCCCTCACTTTTTAAATTCTCATCAGCTGTGTTGAACTGTGCCCCTGCAGCTGCATGAGAAAAGGTATCCAGAGGGTGAGGCCTTCCTGATATGATCTAGTGATGAGGTTGGTGTGGATCTTGGTCTCTTTCTCGGAAATACCATTTATCAGTTAGGAATGACATTTGCCTGCTTAGTCATGGAGATCTGATTAAAGCACGGGAAAGTTTGCCTTTCTCACTTCAAGCTGAGAGCTCTTAAAGACTGGCATTGGTTTGGTAAGCTCAAGCCTGTCAGAATGTGATTCTCCAGACCTTTTCTTCATGGTCCCAAGGTGACTGCTCTAGCTGCAGCCATCACCACACACGTTCCAGGTGGGATCACTGGAAAGAGTCCACCGGTCAGCTCCTTACTCTCACTGGCCATCCTTAGGAGTAAAGGAGGCATGGAATGAAGTTTTGCGTTTAGCTCTGCTCATTGTCATCCTTAGAGTGGACGGGGGCTCTGTAAGGAAGAGGAGAGAGAGCTGCGTGCACACACACCACCTAGAAACCAAGAAAGCTTTCCTGGTTTTGCATACCTCTTGTGTGTTCTCTGCAGGCCATCGGAAATGCCAAAACCACTCGCAATGACAACAGCAGCCGATTTGGAAAGTATATTCAGATCGGCTTTGATAAGCGGTACCACATCATTGGGGCCAACATGAGGACCTACCTGCTGGAGAAGTCCAGAGTGGTCTTTCAGGTGAGTGGCATGAGTTGGGCCTTTTTGTACTTTTTCCCCCATGAGTGATTGCTCACTTGCTCCCTGACCCACTCCCTATGCCCAGAGAGAGCATCTCCTTTTGAGGATACACTTGACCTTTAGCTTTTCTCTCTTTATGTCGAAAACTATTCATGTGAATGCCATGGACATCAGGCCTGGAAATCTGCTCGGTATTGTTTTGAAGTGGGTGTTGTTTTTAGATTCAGTCAACAAACGTAATGAGTGCCTCTTATGTACCAGCCCTGTGCGTGATACCGGAGACACAGGGACGAGACAGTCCTGTTTTTTGTGGATTTGAGAGTCTTAGGGGAAGGTTGTGGGCTTCAGCTTCCCCAGGAACCTTCTTACTTTGTAGGTCCTATTTAAACAAACAAAAGAAAGCTCACTGCTTGGACATCTACTTAGCCCGAAAACAGTCCTCCCCCAGCCCCCTTTTAGTGTCCTGTCCCCTACTTGAAATGACACACGTCCTTGTCTGAGGTGGCCCCACACTCCGAATGTCACCCTGACATTCACCTGCCTGCAGAGGGGACATCCTGAACAGCTTCAGCTGCTTCTCAGAGGCGTCCCTCTGCAGGCTGGTGCTTAACAAACGTGTGACGGATTTTTTAACCAGCTTTGTTTTTCCGTTTTTCTGTTCGGGATCTCTTCCCACCTCCCAAATTTGGTTTGATGGCTCCAAATCCTCATCTCACAGCAGCAAAGCAAACAGCCCGTTGTGCTGGGTGCAGGTCAGGGCTGCCTGTGGCTCTAGCCAGAGTCTTCGCTGAACACCCCTCGAGCCTTCCTCTTCCTTTGCCCAGGCCTCCTAAAGCCCCGTCCCCCCCCCCTCTTTGTCCCCCCCCCCCCCGCCCTGCCACCACTCTGCCAGTTTAAGGCTGGTGAAGCCCGAGTGTCCGCTGTGAGTCCTCCCTCCGTCTAGGACCTTCAGTGGTTGCCCCAGCCTGACCTGATGGGCAAGAGCAGAGCTCTGACTTAGTTCCCAGCCTCCTAGAGAGGACAGGGAGCCTACCACAGGCGAGTGACAGTCTGTGCGGCCTGAGCCAGGGAGCAGGGACATCCATACAAGTGTGTGGGAGTTGGCAGCCCACCACTGTGGAAGAGCAGAGAATGAGAAGAAAATAGGAGAGAGCTAGAAATCCTCAAGCTCGAAGAAGGAACATAACCGTGAATGGAACATCTAGGGGTGGGCGTTGAAGGTGGCAGAGCTGTGAGGGAAGACGTGAGCACAAGTCTTGACCACTGTCATCCACAGGACGCTGGGATGAGAGCGAGTGAGGGGATGATCGCCGGGGTCACTGTCCTAAAGCTGTTGGACTTGTTTCCTCCTGCAGGCAGACGGTGAGCGGAATTACCACATCTTCTACCAGCTCTGTGCTGCCGCCAGCCTTCCAGAATTCAAAGAGCTTGCGCTAAGTATGCAAATGTGGGTGTGCCTGTCCTCGGGGAGGGGCTGTGTGGCCACAGGGTACTGCCCTGGGGGGCCTCTGCACAGAGCCCTCTGTCCTGGGTTCTTGTCCCAGCTCTGCTTCCCATGCGAGTATGTCCCCATCCAGACCTCCTTGAGCATCTGTACCCAATCCATAAACTCGGGCCAATTGTCCCCAGGCAGCCTGCCACAGAAAACCATTTGAGAGGGGAAGGGGGGGCGGGATAGTAATTTACAGAGCACGTAAGAATTTCCATGCATTATTTTGAAAAATGATCACACTTCAGACAGCATAAAAAGGCCGTCCCACCATGAGGATCTAGAGATTTATCCAGTGCAGCTCATGTCATTGTAGCCTGGGAGTTTTAAGTCCTACTCAAGGATAGAGCTGAAGGAAAGGAGGGGGTGAGAGGCTGGGGCAGGATGAAGATGGCTGGCCTGGGGCGAGGGGGTGGGGGAAAGGGGCTGCTGAGCATTAGGCCCCAGGGTGTGCAGACCTCCCCATAGCTGGCGGGGCACTGTGGCAGCGGGTGGCACCTGGCGGGGGGTGGGGGTGAGGGGGTGCTGCAGTGGTAGCCGATGGTGTGAAGAGCTGGGTGTCTAGACAGGGGTCAGTTGGCCCTTATGTATCTGTGAGAGAAACCGACCCCTGAGGCTGTCCACAACCCAGATCCTAGCTGTCTTCAGGGCCCGGTGCCAGATCGAGCTCTGACAGCCCCAGCCCATACCCCTCAAGGCTGACACACACCAGGTCGTTCAAACTTCGGTCTGCCCTCCTAACTCTCTGCTTTACTTATGGATTCCTGCTTCATTTGGTGCCTGGGTCATGCGGGTTAGCACTGGGTCCTTGGTCCATTCACTGAAGCCTACAGACGTGGTGTGAGGCGCCGGGGATGGAGCGCTCAGTGTACCCGTTGTGGGGCCTGCCCTCGCTGAGCTCACGGCCCGGCACTGTGCAAGATGGGAAGGCTGTGCTGAGGGAAGCAGAGCCGAGGCGGGTGGAAGGTTCCCAGGGGAAGGAAATTGAGAACCAGAGGAGGAAGCCCAGGAGGGCATGCTACGCTGCTTTTCTGCTGTACCGTACTCCATGTTTGCAAGTCTGCCTCCCCCCACCGAAGCTGTAAACTCCTTGGGAGGGACGAGCACAAGCCTTGTTGGATGTGTCCCTCCTGGAGCTGGCAGCTTGGGCTCGGGTGTTGGTTTATGGCCACAAGTGACCAGGAATGCAGACCTTTGCATTGATGAGCTCTCAGGCTCAGGGTGAGGCCATGTTTGGCCTCATGGGTGCGTTGGCTGTGAGCTCCGAAGCCTGACAGTTCCACGATAACGGTTGGTGGTTGGAAACACGAAGTAAATGAAAGACTAGCCAGGGGTTCCTAGTGGATAGACCGCCTTGCCTCCTTCCCCCTTCCCTTTAGCTAGAACATGCTCCTCAACTGAGCAGAAGTCCCTGTGAGATCCTTTGGCCCAGCGAGGGGGAGCAGAGGGACACTCCGTCTGTATTTCCCTCTGCTCTGTTGATGGTGGTCTGTTGCATGAAAATGACCTCAGGATGAGATTTTAAAAAACAATACTCCCATGAATCATGGGTCGAAGTGTAAATAAATCATGGTAAAAAGAAGTGTAATGGGCTTTTTATTTCCTTACATAGAGCCTTCAGGTAGTAAGGAGTAAATTCTTTATTTTTCTCTTCCATGGGTACGTTGATAGTCCTCTGAACAGCCTTCTTGCTTTGCACAGTTGGAGCGTAGCCTCCCAGGTGAACCAGCCCACAGCGGGGCCCCTGATGGTCCCCTGCTCTAAGCGCTGGCCTCACGCCTCCTCTGGGCTGTACACGGTTCGGTGTCTGTCTGGTGAGCCAGTTACTAGGGGCTTTTGTGGCGTATTTCTCCTTGGAAATGTGAACTAAGGGGAGACCCACACTGGAGGAGAGCTGTTGCTCTGGGACGGGACGGTCAGCACCGGCTTCACGGGCTGGAAAGGAGAGCCCGGATCCAGGGCCGCTAAGCCGATGGCAGGAGACTATCTCCTGTTTATGAGGGTCTGGAGTGTGACGGTGACAGAGCTGATTGCACGCCTGAGAGATGATCATCTCGATTGGATTCAGTCATTTAGTAGAGTGAAGCTGTGACTGACCCGGGTGGGCCCTGCAGTGATGAGCCCCAGCCCGAGAAAGTTCCCCTGTGGAACCCGAGGTTGGGAACTAGCAGCAGGGAAGGTGGGCGGAGTCAGTCTGACTCAGACCATCAGCAAGGGGGGCCCTGGCTTTTGACAATGAAGGGTCTCAGTAGACACTGAAAATGCCTCCTTTCCTCCAGCGGAGAGGTCTAGTGTCCTGCGTATTTTTCTGATGTGTCAGCTGATAGATTTTGATAACGAGTTAGGTTGTGTTTATGAGAAAACCGTACAGTAAACAACCATCTCCATGTTAGGGTGGTCAGGTAATGGGCTCCCAGGCCGGCCAAAGTCTGGGGGAGCCCGGGTAATCCCTTCCAGCCCTATGTTCCTCAGTTTGCCCATCTGAAAAATAGGAATAAATATGTTCAGTCATCCTAACGTGCTCCTGCAAAAATCATCGAAGGAAGTACTTTGAAAGGTGAGTGAAAGGAAGCATGATGCTTTTCTTAAGCCTTTGAAACTCTTCTGTTCTGTGCCAGAGCTCGCAGGGGGATTCCATAGAAAAGAGCTGAATTTACCACCTTCCACAGAGACCTGCTGTGACTCCCTCCATAACCATTTGCCTTTTCTGGGACTGTCTGCAAGCCTGGGGCTGAAGTCCTCCTTCTCCCATGCAAGTGCCTTTAGTCATCAGGGTTTGGGTTACTTCTCCGGGAAGCTTTCCCTCATAAGCTACGGCTGATACCCTGCTCTCCATGCCTGTGGACAGTGTAGCCTGATGGTCCAGCCTGGGTTGTGTGGGGCAGGGTTTGGGTCTGAGTTGGGCTACTTCCTAATGGGCCTGGCAATGTGTACTCAGCGGAGGAGTGTGGCTTGGAGCAGAGGATGCACGGTGGGAAATGGAAGAGACCAGAAAGGAGAGGTAGGTGGGCTCAGCGTGGACCCAGATTGGCCGTGGGCGGTAGAGCTGAGGAACAACCGTCAGGAAGGGGGTGGATCAGGGACAAGAGGTGTGGGAGGACGGGTGAGCCCTGAGTCTGGAGGGACACATGGAGGCTGTGGTTGCTTCACAAAGAGCCCAGGAGGTTCTTTTAGGGTGTTTGACCTCTGGCTTGAGGGCACGGGGGCAGGAGCGGGGGTTTTCTAAAAGGCTTTAAATGGGCGTGCAGTGTGATCAGAGTTACCAGGAGCATGAAAGTGGATTTGAAGGGGCAGGAGCGGGGGGGAGACTGGTTTAGTCTTTGGCAACAGTCCCCAGACTACAGGTGCGTGCAGAAGGTCAGATGTAGACAGCGGTAATCGGAATGGAGCAAGGAAAGAGACCCAAGACGTTTGTAAGGGGTCAGAGTGGCAGCTCAAGGTGTCGCAGGAAGACTGGACATGGCAGTGAAATCTCATCGAAGCCTGTTGAGCTGATGTGAGTTTGACCACACACATGCAAGGGAGATAATTTCACCATCTTTACAGAAGAAGAACAGTAGCCAGTGTCCAGCTTTGGCATCTTGTCAAAATCAAACACCATAAATTTAGAAATTCCAAACACTGGGCAGGGTTGTTTTACACAAAGGTTCTGCGTTTTGTGGAAAATGTGATTTGGGGGGTAATCTCGATGAGGTACACTTGTTGCCCTAATGCTAACCTCCAAGCCTGCTGCGTGGATACCGCCCATGTCTTGTTGAGTTACTGCCCCCTGCGACGGTTGGCTCTGAATTCTAAGGCAGACCTGGGACTTCTCACCAGTTGTGTCCCAGGCTGCTCTCTGAGGCCTGACTGAGAGGAGCCGAACCTGAGGTGAGATCAAACACACGAGGATCTCAAGGTTCATCTCTTCATGTGCCTGAAGAGCTCAGGGGTGCCCCAACTCGGTAGAACAAATGAACAAAAAACCATGTCACCTTGGGCACATCGTTGCCTCTCTGTCAAATGAGGCTGTCGCACTCAGCTTATCAACGGTCCTGGAAGTCTGTGATTCTAGGGTGCGTGTAGCTCTCACTGGATATCAGATCCTTTTAAAAAGGATTTATTTACTTTAGAGATGGAGTGTGCACAGGGGTGAGGAGACAGAGAGGAGACAGAGGGAGCATCTCAGGCAGACCCTGCACTGAGTACAGAGCCCAACGCAGGGCTTAATCCCACGAGCCTGAGATCATGACCTGAGCTGAAACCAAGAGCCAACCAGGCGTCCCTCAGATCCTTTTAAAAAGCAAATCTGTGGTAAATCCTGTAAACTGAACCACTTGTGACTTTTTATGGTTACATGTTTTTGTGTACTGGTTTTATACAAACACAGCAATGCATCCTGTTTAGTGTAGTGCTCTGTGTCTCCTTAACCAATTTTCTCTCCATTTGCCATTGTCAGTAAAGATGATATTTTATAAGGATTGCACATTCAGCTGGGAATAAAATTTTTGTCTGGGATGAGTAGAAATCTTCATGGGTCGTGATCTGTGGGTAAACCGGGATTGAGCTTCTTTCTGATGCCTGATGCTTTTCCTCCTTGCCTCTCATAGCATGTGCAGAGGACTTCTTCTACACATCACAGGGAGGAGACACACGCATCGAGGGCATCAATGATGCTGAGGACTTTGAGAAGACGCGACAAGCCTTCACACTCCTGGGTAAGCAGCTTCTGAGTGGGAAAAGGCCCAGACGATTGACTTCATGGAGAGTAGAAAAGCACGACAGTGTCCCACTTTGCCAAACTTCGTAAGCCCACGAGGAGCCCTGTTGCCCTCGGTGAATGTTGTCCTACTCTTAATTCATCCCAGCCCTCAGACTCCAGAGTTTAAGACTTGTACTTTTGTTGAGCGGTCTTAAAAATAAGCGTTTGAGAGTCATGTTCTTAGGCACTGCAAAATGGCCCTTTCCACTTCCTCAGGCCACCGAAGCCAGTGGAACAAAATGAAAAAGAACCACATCTTCTTGTGCCGTGGTCTGGTGTTAGACCGTGTGTTCTAGCAGAAAGAGCATGTCTTTAGGACCAAACCAACCCATGCACCATAGTCCTGGGATCCAAGCTGGAAGCAGACCATGAGGGTCTGGTAGTGTTCTCTCCCATATAGTGCCGTTCTGTCACCACTTTTTCTATAGAGAGCATTAGTGGAATTCTTCAAGAGCTCTCTGTTCTTCTGGTATTGCTCCTTGGCCTTTTGGCTAATAACATCAAGTGTCTTCCTGGGCATGAAGGGCCATATTTCAAAGCCAGATATTTCAGTGACTCGTGAGAGAAAACTCCTCTCCCTGGCCACTTTTTTCTCCCCCTTGCCATTTTTGAGGAAGAGGAGCCTGAGTGGCAGAGTGGAAGGCAAGCCTTTCCTCACGGGGAAATTGAATGAGTTAATTCCTGGGACCTGCAGCCAGAAAAAAACAGAGCTTGGGAAGTCAGCCTGAAGCTCAGGGAGCAGCTCAGGATGGCCCCTGTGTTCGCTCAGCCCCTTCTCTGACCGAGGTAGACATCTGGCTTCTGAGTCATGTGACTACTTCAGAGCTGCATTTCTTGGGTCCTTTGGTGGGAATCTGGGTGGTCTCACCCAGTGTCCAAATAAAACTTGGCCAAACCAGACACGTCCTAATCTCTGTGCAGTAGGAGCAGGGCTTCGTGGGCTGAAATCTGAGCGAGCGCTCTTCACTTCTCTGGGTAACCGGTGGGTAGATGTACTTTGTCTTTCATACCCACGAAATAATGACCTAAAAGCCACGCTGGTTATCCCGATGAACAATATCAGTTAGCTAGAGCAGTAGTTGGTGATTATAAAAAAGGTGTTTAAGACGACTTTAGGGATGCAGAAGTATCAGGTGCAAAAGGGCAAGGAAGAGCAGCAGATAGAGGCACTGTTGCTAGGCAGACATTCCAGCCCCTTGCAGGAGCGTGTGGTTGCAGGATCAGGAAGCCTGCCCGTGAGGGATCCTGCCGGAGGACGTGGACCACGGCTGGTCTGCAAGGCAGCCTGCATTCGCTGCAGCACGTCCTGGGACCAGAAGCTCTCAGAGGCAGCTGCTAATGTAGAGAGCATGGCCTGAGGGCACCACAGTGGCCCGTCCGGGGCCTGGCTATGCTGCCGCGATGAATCAGAACGGTGGAGGACAAGAACCGAGAACACACATGTCCTCTTGCTGCTGTTGCGTGGCTCGGTCACTGTGGAGGTCTTTGGCCAAGCTGGCTGTTCTGTCGGTGGGCAAACGGGAAATGTTCACCGGGTCTCACTCCAGTATCCCACAGCGGGGCGGATTTGAGACCGAGAGATATGGATCAATGACTGACACCCTTGACTTCGCCAATGTCCCAGAATCACTTTGTTCAGTTGGGGAGCAGGTTTGGAGGGGACTTGCTGAGCAGGAGACCAGTCCGCCCTGTTGGCCAGAGGCAGGAGGCTGCCCCTGGTGGCTGCTGTGAGCAGTGGGCGGGCGCGGGTCCAAGGAGCAGGCGGCTCCCTCCAAGGCTCCAAGGAGGCTGGGTGCTGTCGTTCGCAAAGCAAATGGCACAGGAAAATCTATTGAAATAAGCCTTTCTTCCCTACTTTTCAATAAACACATCTACTTTTTTACTCACACATTTTCTTAAACGACAAGATGATAAATATTGCTTTACTCCTTCAGTTCTGAGTTTTGGTTTTCTGCTTGTCATAGTGGAGTACCGCTTATTAGGATAGTTTATAAAGAAGGGGCTTCTGGTCAGTATAGTACAGCAATCCTAACTGTTGTTAGGATTCAGTAGTCCTTCAGTATCTACTACTTAAATTCCTACCATGACTGTGAGGTGAAGGCTTTGACAATGGACAAAGCATTCGTTCCCAAGAGTGAGTGCAGGAGAGAGAAGTGATCTGTCCCTCTTGGGATGGTCCAAAACCCACTTCCTGACTAGTAGGACCTAGTTGAGAGTAGGATGCATGAGCTCGGATTGAAACCCAGGACTCCCCACGTGGGTGAACCACCACCAAGCCCCCATCTTGTCTGGGGATACCAACCTCTGGCTTTAACCTGTCTTCGTTTTTTTCAGTCTTACTCAGTTACACTAAATTTTTTGGCCTCCAGCTCTTTTAGTTTTTTTTTTTTTTTTCTTTTTAATTAGGTTAAACAAAGCCAGACATTTCAGTGACTCGTACATCTCTGTAGACATTTGGGAATACTTGCCGTCTGTGTAACTGTCGTCAGTTCAGTTCCATTATTCCTGTTTCTGAGCACCTGTATGCCAAGGCAAGAACAGGGATTCATTATATTGCTATTTCTTTGTCTATTTTGAAACTTTCTGTAAAAAATTTGAAAAGTAAATCCCAGCCCCTATGACACTTACACAGTGTAATAGTCATTTGTCACTGGTGAAGTCTAGAGTGACTCTGTCTAGTTCATGCCTGGGTTGTCCACTTTGTGGATAGTTTTTCATCCCAGGATAGTCCGTCTTTACCTCCCAGTTACTATAGGTGTCACTTTTTTTAGGCTGTATAAATTATTGCCTTTAAAATAAATGCATCTGGAGAGAAATGTGGGAGACCACCGTATTATTTCTTAAACTGAGTGGTAGGTTGACTGGTGTTCTGTTACTGTGTAGCCTTTTTTTGTAGGTCTGGTCTTTCGTACTTCAAAAAGAAATGATAATGTCTTTTTTTTTTTTAAGATTTTATTTATTTATTTGACAGAGAGAGATCACAAGTAGAGAGAGAGGCAGGCAGAGAGAGAGAGAGAGGGAAGCAGGCTCCCTGCCGAGCAGAGAGCCCGATGTGGGACTCGATCCCAGGACCCCGAGATCATGACCTGAGCCGAAGGCAGCGGCTTAACCCACTGAGCCACCCAGGCGCCCCAAGAAATGATAATGTCTTAAAGCTAAATATAAGTTTTAAGAGACGGTCCGGGTCATCGATGACTCCCGCGCTCAAGTCAGCGTGGCCTCAGGTGTTGGCTCCGGCAGTTCGAGGTTCGATGTGTCTGGACCCGTGAGGGGGCGTGGAGTGTGGCCCTGCTCGGTAGTGGCCGAGAGCCAGCTGGCCGTCCAGCTCCTCCAGCAGTGCTCCCAGAAGGGCCTCCTCTTCCTCCCCCGTTGGTACTTTGGATGTGGGACACAGATGTTTGCTGGTTATTATGTTCCGAGAGAAATGACTGCAGATAAATGACCATTCTTATTAAACTCATAAAAACATCCATAAAGTATTTGGTTGAAATGAAGTTTAAAATGAGTCTGCATGATTGCTGTTTCTCCTTTGCTCTTGGAGAAGTTAAAATGGTAGCATAACCCATCTGGTTTGATCAGGACAATCAGAGCGAGGGTATTTCCCTTTTAGTCCAGGGAGCCCCTTTGCCCTCAGAGCTGTTACTATGATTGGTAATTACGTGGTAAGGAGCCTGGATCACTTTAGGAGTCATTGGCCCAGAAAGGAAAAATCAAACTTTTTTAAAGTCCTTTAAAAAAGGGTGAAATGTCCTTTCTATCCTACCAGGGATGCTGAGTGTCATTCATTCCTTTTTTTTTCCCCCCCAGGAGTGAGAGAATCCCATCAGACAAGCATTTTTAAGATAATTGCTTCTATCCTGCACCTTGGAAACGTGGAGATTCAGGCTGAGCGTGATGGCGATTCCTGTAGCGTATCAGTAAGTCGCACACCAGCACCCAAGATAAAACATACACAATTTTCTCTGCTCTTAAGAGTTTGATACAACTGAAATGTGTCTTTACACTCAGAGGACACTCATAGGTTATTTATTCTTAACAGTTATGGTTTCTGTTCTCTTGCTGATAATATTTTAAAAGAACAAGTCCTTTTCAAATCGGCTGCCATCAAATTTCTATCACCAAGGGCAGAGAATTTAGTGGCTATTGAATAAATTCTTTTTCTTATGGATTGCTTTTCCAAGGACCCTGAGGTCCATGGAATTCTACAAAGTGTTCTCCATCCATGAGTACTCCCTGAGCTCCCCACTGAGGTCCGCGCAGCAAGGAGATGGAGTGCTGGACACCATATTTGGTGACTGTCTCCACGGAGCTTGCAGTGTAATTGGGTAGACAAAAGACAACCCTGCTTGGCAAGATTCTGGCAGTACGATGCAGAACACTGACACACCTTTATGAAAGTATGGCAAATTGTGAATGATTCCATTAATGCCCCCAGTGACTACTTTCCCGGTGCCCAGTGTAGCATCAGATATGTGCCAGGTACACAATGTCTAAATGGTTAGATGTGGGAGATGGTGGAGATGTGTGGTCCCATAGTCAGTGGCTAGGGTGTGCTCTCTGCTGTGTGTGTCCGGCTAGGTCCCCACTGGTGTTCCCACCTTGAGTGAGTCTGCGGTTGCTGACTAGACACCTCTCTTGTGCCCCTTAGTGGCTGCGTCCTGGGGAGGTCCAAAGGAGGATTCTTGTTGCCAACGACTTAGAATTTAGAAACCCGGACTCTGGGAAAAGACACAAGACAGTACTGTAGAATATGAACGTGGGCCTGTGTCAATGCCACTCACAACTGATGCTTTTTCAATTGAACAAATATTTATTAACCTCCCGCTGTTTGCCTACAGTTAGGGCTTATCAGAAGTTGAAACCAGTCGTGCCTTTAGAGAGAGGACCCTTGCCCCATATATTGTTCCTGAAAAAGAAGTGGTCTTGGGGGCAGAGGGTCTCCTGGGCCCATCAAGGCATCCTCAACATGGAATCTGTTACCTGAGGAGAGCTTTGAGGCTCACGTGCCTGGGCCCAGTGCGGAAGGAGGGAATGCTGGAGCTTGAGCAGTGTGGGAGACCACAGACGATGCTGGGTGTGTGTGTTGGGTGGGCAGGGAGATTGGCAGTGACGGTATTAAGAGAGAGCCCACGTTGTGCGAGGAGATCCTGGACCCTAGCAGGATGGGGAGTGGGCCTCCATGCAGGCCACATGCCCCCCACCCCACCCGCCGACTCTGAGGCCTTCGGGCCGGGGAAGTATTGCTCCCATGTCTTTCTCCTTGTGAGGAAGGCATATTAAGGGTGCCTAACCCCCATGCATACTCCAGTAAATGCCTCTTGCTTCCTTAGGCAGCCATGTATGTCCTGGTGTCAGGGACAGGTGAGATTAAGGACGTGTGCTTTGAGAAACTCCTGGTTTGGGTCAGTGAGATACAGGAAAGGTGACATATTCCCTGGTTTTCCAATTCACCCAACACCCTGCCCCCCCCATTGTGGATTCTTACAACACCTGTGCCTGTTCTCCATGGTGTTGCGCTTGGTTGTAATTTTCCATTTTCCATGGGGGGGGGCAGTTATTGCACGTCTCTCCCCTCATGAAACATCACAATCTACGAAGGCAGCTACTGTTGGTGAATTATTGTAACCCCAGCAGCTGGGACGGTCGGTGCCCAGCCCCTTGTAGGTGCCTGATGAGTGGATTTTTGCTCAGTGCTGGTTTCCCCCACTAAACTCTAGGGTGTGTCTGGTGTAGGAGGCCATGTCCGGTCTGGCAGGGTGACCTTCCAACCCTGACACACACTGGCACCCACCAGTGTTTCTGTAAAGACTTTATGAAGGTGAATACCAAGACACAAATTGGAGAAGACTGGACAGAGGGCATGGGTAGTGCTTTAGGGAGAAGACGGAGGAAGCTGACAGGTAGAGGTTTTGTTACTAAATGGGGCAGCAGGCCCTGTCTCTCAATAACAGGAAGTCAGGGTTTTTTTTGTTTTTTGTTTTTTTAAAGATTTTATATATCTGAGAGAGAGTACACAAGTGAGCATGGGTGGGAGGGAGGGGCAGGGGGAAAGGGAAAGGCAGACTCCTTGCAAGCAGGGAGCTTGATGCGGGGCCCCATCCACCCAGACACCCCAGGAAGTCAGGGCTTTGAGCACAGGAACTTGGCTTAGGCTAGCCTCATGTTGTTCTCCGATTAGAGACTGTGCAGAGAACTCGTTGTGAGTCAGGACAACAAGGGTTAAATCCTGGTTCTGCTGCTTCCTGATAGCTAACCTCTCTAAGTCTGCTTCCTCATCTGTGGAGTGGGGGCTGATATGACCTACCTTAGCCCGGGGCTCCCGTCACTCTTGACTCATCCCCAACAATTTGTTGGAGGCAGAGTGGACCTTGTGGACATCCCTGTTACTTCACATGGTGGGGAAAAACTAAGGCCCAGAAAGACCTTAATGACTGTTAATAGTCATGTCGGGCCCCAGCCAGTGCCGTTTGCCCCGAACTACTGCTATTCTGGAGCTGGGCCACCCTCCCCGGCCAGGGTCCCCCAGCAGGTGCCAAGCCCAGAGCTGGGCACACAGTGTGCGCAAGAAGTCTTCCTGAAGCGGTTGCTGGTGAAAGTCTCTCTCGGATGGGTTTTGGTTTATTCCTCTGGTGCAGAGGGTGGGCCTCCTGCTGGAAAGGCTGTCTGTCTAGACGCAGTATGCCTTCTGCTCTGTAGTTTTGATTTTTAATTAAAGCATTAAGCTGTGTTTGCGACTGCCAGAGTTACCTTGGAGAGGCAACAGAATGCAATTACTTGGGCACCAGAGGCAATTTGTTTCTTGAGTTTGGCAATATGGGCCCACAAAACCTAATCTACCTATGATGCTGGCCATTTTTAATGGATTTAGCATCATTTAATTAAGCCTAATGTAATTACGTGATGTTCAGTCAGTCGCAGTTAGCACCTTTCATCAACAGTCAGAAGGGGTAACAGAGGGACAAGCCCCATGCCACCACAGCAGCTGGGAGCCCGTCCTGAGGTGAGCATCAAACAGTGCCAGGACATGGGCTTCTGTCTCCACTGCGTTCCCCGGGGGAGGTGCTAGGTGGGGGGGCAGGGCTCCAGGGGGCAGGCCTCGAGTCGTCCTGTCGGCTGCTGGGAGGCCATCTGCAGGTCAGGGAATCCAGTGGTAACGCTATGCAGAGCAGTTAAGAACGCCTTGGAAGTAGGTCAGATTGAAAAGTTGGACTCTCACCACCTCCGAACCTGTTGCCTGCCAGGCAGTCCCAGGCATTTAACAACACTGCAGGTGGCTTTCTTGGGAGGGGGTTACAGCAGGGGGAGGTGGGCAGGTGCAGGCTGCCACCAAGAGAAATGCTGTCCATCAGGACAAGGAGCCATGGCAGCCCCGCCTGCTGTGTGAAAAGATGGAGGGCCTCGTCCTCCCCACCCAGTCCAAGCTGACTCTCGTTCCCAGCTGGATCAGGAGCTCTGGGCCACAGTCAGGGCTACCTCCCCACCCCCCCCATCCTCTTCACCTGAAAAATAAGAGGGATTAGGTTAGAATGATGATTCCCAAGGAATTTTCCTGGGAACCTTAGCCCTAGGCAATTTCTTAAGAAGCTAGGGGTTCTTTGGTCAATTAAGTTCAGGAAATGCTGCATAAAATATGTCTCCTGGGGCTCTCAGGGTCCGTTAATACACCATTTCAGCTGTGTCTAACCTGGTGGCATCCCTGGGCCCCTGTTGTTAGGTAAAGCCCATTAAAGTGCTTTGTAGCTGTTGCTCCAGCTCCACAGACCGCATTTGGAAGAACACTGGCCTTACTGGGAGGTTCTTTCCTACTCTGACTTTCTATTATTTTGTAATTGTGTTTGCTTTGGGTAGATGGATTTTAAATATCTGTAGAAGGAAAAAAAAAAAAGCTGGCCTGGGGAAATGGTGTTAAGGAGGAAATGGTACAGTTATCTGCGCTAATTTTCATTGAACGCTCAAACTCTCATTTAGATCCTCCACAGCAGCCTCATCAGAAAATGAGTCCCACAAGCAAAGGCAATTTAGGGCCATTATAGAAGGTGGCAACATCGTGTTCTGAAGGATTCCCTTTCTTCTTGAGACTTAATAAGCAATCTGGCAAGCTCGTGGTTTGGTTATCTGCTTTCCGGGTGGGGGGGAGGGCATTTAGATGAGAGAGCAAAGAACAGGGGGGTTTTGTGGGGTGCCCTGAGTGCAGAGCAAGGAGTATGTGACTTACACATGGGGATGAAGTGAAGACAAGACCTGCAGGGGACGTGCTTACTGGGGACTGCAAGGCCAGGTGGTATGATGGGTACTTTGGGTAAATGAGCGTCGAGATTGGAGGCAGCTGGGTATGCTGGGTGGAAGGTGCTGCTTATCTCTCTAGAGAAGGGTTTTCAGGAGGAGGAATTCCTAGTTTTCTCTCCAGCTCTAAAAGGGTGGTATTACCAGTTGCAATGTTCCAAGCGGCTCTTCTCCGGTCACAGTTTGTTCTCCGTTCTTGCTGTTTGTCCTCGCTTTCCACATCGATGGGCTTCTATCCCCAGGCAGCAAGGGCTCTAAGAGTAGAACACCAAGTGTGTGTTACTTACTATCCCTGAGGCTAAGGTGCGGGAAAGTCTGCTCAGAGCACTGCAGTGTCAGTGTGGGGAAGGATGTCCCGTTGGCTCAGCTCTGTGCTCGTTCCAAAACATGCAGCTGTCCGACCGGGTGCAGCTGGTCAAGGGTAATGCTTGCCCATGAGGACGTCTTTCCAGGCTGTGGGCTCAGCCCTGCATGCGGGACTCTGCAGATGGAAACCGTACATTTACTATGATTCTGCATCTGCTGCTTTGTATGGTTCCTGCTGCCTTCTGGCTCCTTATTCCTAATGGATTTATCCATCCCTAAGCTATCAGTTCTCATTCTGCTCCCTTCACTCAAGGAATTCTCTCCAGCCTGTGACTTGGCAGCTGGCTGGCCGTGGAGGAGGGCAGAGGAAAAGTTGAGAAAGCTTTTGTTTTGCAAAGCCCTCATCCTTCAGTGTAACGATCAGCTGCACCAACACGCTTGGGGGCCTGCTTGTCCCTCCGCTTAGTGGTGTGGGAGTTCGCGAGCCTGCTGGTGCTGCGGCAAGGGGTGGCGAGGAGCGTTGTGGGTCTACGGTGCTGGGGGAGGGGCTCATTTTGGCTCGGGGTGGTGGCGGGCAGGGTACGGTGGCAGGCTTGCTCTCTGCTCCCTCCTGAAGCCCTCCTCCATGTCTCTTCCAGCCCCAGGACGCACACCTGAATGACTTCTGCCGGCTGCTGGGGGTGGAGCACAGCCAGATGGTGCACTGGCTCTGCCACCGCAAGCTGGTCACCACCTCTGAGACCTACGTGAAGACCATGTCCCCACAGCAGGTGGCCAACGCGCGCAGCGCCCTGGCCAAGCACATCTACGCTCAGCTCTTCGGCTGGATCGTGGAGCACGTCAACAAGGCGCTGCACACCGCTCTCAAGCAGCACTCCTTCATCGGCGTCCTGGACATCTACGGGTAGGCCCACGCCCGGCCTCCTCTCCCTCCACCTGATGGCTGTGTCGTCCTTTTTTAAAACAAAACATTTAAAGGGAGAGCAAAAAAGAACGCGAGTGGGGGTAGGGAGAGGGAGAAGCAGGGTCCCCGCAGAGCAGGGAGCCCGATGTGGGGCTCCATCCCAGGACCCTAGGATCATGACCTGAGCCGAAGGCAGACACTTAACCGACTGAGCCAGCCAGGTGCCCCGATTGTGTCTTCCTGCTAGCATCTCAGAGTTGGCAGGGGACCTTGCTTCCCAATGCTCATCCAGGGAGTGTGACACATGGCAGCATTTTCTGGTTGTCACAGCGACTGGGGTCTCTACTGGCACCTAGTGGCCTGAGTTTGGGGATGCTAGGTGTCCGACAATATGGAAGACTGTTCCAAGGAAGAGTGGCCCCTTTCAGTACCCCAGTAGCTCCTGCGTGGAGAAACCCTGTACACATCTGTCTTCACAACTGGGAAACAGGCCTGGCGAGCGAAGGGTCTTGCCCGGAACTGGACCGGAAGCTGCTCTGAACGCAACTTCAGGCTTTGTGTCTCAGCTGTTTTATTCAAATCTACCATCTGACCTCATTCACTGTGTTCCCCATCAAGATGGTTATTATAATACCACGATTTTGCCCGGCACTGTGAGACTCATGTGCGGTCATTCTTGAGGCTTCTCTTCCTTTCAGAATTCTAGCCTAACGGCAAGGACTGTTATTTATAACGGCATCTTCTGCAGGGAGAGGCAACATGGCTCAGCGGAAAATCTCCCTGACTCGGCGTCAGAAGACAGGGGTGGTGACTCACGGCTGGCCCCAGCTCGCTCCACACCTCACAGCCTCCTTCTGGTCTTTTGTTTCCCTAGCTGGAAGGAAAGCATTGAGCCACAGTCTCTCTGAGGTCCTTCCCAGATCCTTCTAGAGTTCTTTGAAGTTCTGCGTCCTGATCTTCAACCTCCTTTGCACATCTTTTATGATCAATGTCTTGCCTTCTTTAAGCTAATAATAGATTGAATTCTCCTGGGTGTTTATATCACAGAAGGTTATGGCTTCTGTCTTAAAATAGAAGTTCAGACCCGTGGAAGTACAGAGTTGTAAGAACAGGGCTGCTCTGGTGGAAACAACTGCTTAGTGGGCTGATGGGCTTATGTTGAGACTAGAGCAAAGGGAACCTCCTAGAAGTGGCCACGTCCCCATGCAAAGATTGGCTGTCCTCGTTAGAGCTCTGCTGCTCTTGTTCACGGTTGGATTTCTGATCGAACCTTGTTGCAGGGTATGGAGCACATGAAAGGGAGAGACTTGATTTCTGGCATCACAAAGACCTCGTGCTGAGGAACTAATGCACATACATGAGCCACATAATACAAGAGACAACCAAAGAAATTCTAGCAGAGTCCATTTGAAGGTTTGGACACTCAGTGTGGGATGAGTGTCAAGGCAGGAGAGGGCATGCTCGTTGGCACCGTCAGGGAAAGCTTTATGTGGAAGGTGGTGTTTGAACTGGATCTTTTAAAGGGAGGGAGTAAAATACGGGAGGTGGGGGCAGCAGCTTTGGGACCCGGGACCACTGTCATGATGTTGGGAAAAAGCGAAGCGTGGCAGGGAAGCCTACTAGCTGGTGAGACGACAGTGGGGCATCTCCGAGAGCAGGAAGAAGACGGATGCATCCTCTCCAGGCTGTTTGGGATTTTATCTGAGTGGCTGGGTCCAGACCATTTCTCCTGGCCACTGAGTGCCTGCTTTGGGCTCAGCCCCTCCCATTTCTCTGTGGAGAGCATGGAGCATTTCTTACGCTGGGAACCTTCCTCCTTGCTGTCAGTAATTCCGTTATTCTCTTCACCATGAGTATTTTCAGGAAATTGGGTTCCCCTGAAAGTCTGACCTTTCATCCTCCCTTCTGAAGTAAGACCCAGAGAAACCCAGGCCACGGCATTTGACCGGATTCCCTGACTTTACCTGGGCAAGAATCTAATTTACTGGGTTTTTGATAAGGGAAGACGAACAGGTAGGCTCAGTGTTGTGAATAGCATGGGAAAACATCATGACTTCAAATAAGGAATTGTTGAACACTACATCAAAAACTAATGATGGACACTATATGTTGGCTAACTGAACATTAAAACAAAACATCGTGACTTTTGTGCTACCGCTACTCACCACTGTCATGGTCCCCTGCTGTCTTCGTGGCACCACGGCCTTCCCTCCCTCCCCGGCATCTGCAGTGAGAGGCTTTGCTCCTTGTTGGCCTGTCACGCTGCTGGGTCTGGAGATGCCGCTGGGCTCGGGCAAGCTGGATTTTGTGCTTCTATTTGCTGTTGACCTTTTTCATCATTGAGTCTGTTCTTCTCAAGTCCTGTGACTGCCCAGAGGGGAGAAATTGATTTCAGGGAAGGCTTGTCTGTGGTTTGAGGAGATGGAGCCTGTGATGAGGTGGGGGTCCCGAGAACTCGGTCTCCTGACCCATGCGTTCCCCTCTCCTCTTGGAGTGGCTTCCTCGGAGTTCCACGGTAGGGCCACGGGCCAGGTACTTGAGAAGTTTCCTACCCTTCGTGCTTCCTTCAGACATGCTGTGCTGTCTTGTTTTCTTTTTAAAATCCTTGTTCTTAGGAGCTCATTTCGTTTTCCACACTGTGCTGCAAAGTAGGCCTGTTGGCACAGCAAGACACCCTCCCCTCGCAGAGGTCCAATGCCGGACACATGCTCCGTGGAGTGGCGCGTTCGTGCCCTCGAGGCAGAGCCGGGGTGGGCTCCGAGTTAGCGAGCTGGCTGGCTGTCTGGGCCATCTGTTGCCAAGAAAGCACTTAGACACTTTCCCTGAATGCCCGTAAGCATGCTCCTCAGCAGTGCGAGTCTGCCGAGAAATTGCTGTTAAGAATTTGCGCTGGCCGAGGCTCTCTTCTCTGGCCAGAAGGCATGTAATGAACTCTTAGGAGGTTAGAACCAAAAACTTCAGCACCAGCAAGGAGATCACTTGGACTCGTGGTACTGTGTCTGCTCCGTCCGGTCGGAGACATCATTTCTTCGTCTGGAAGAAAATGACAGTGATGGATGGGAGTCTGGGCTGACCTTGAATGGAGCTGTTTACTGTCCTATCCCTTTTGCAATCCTGGTATCTGTCTCCTTTTCGATGGACTTTCAGGTATCTTACAGAAAGCCGCTGGATCTTTTTTTAATGTGGCCATCCCTCCGTTATCTGGGTCGGACATCACACCTGACACTCTTCCACCTGTTGTCTTCTCCAACCAACACCCCCCCACCCAACTGCCAAACTGATTCCTGTCTTTATGCTTCGTTGATAATGTAACTAGGGGAAGTGATTCTAAGGACAATTCATTCTCCATGACTTCAGAAAAGTCCAGCATGATTTTTTTTATTTTTTGAGTTTTCTATCCAAATCCCTGACCACCAAACACTGGAGAGGGAGAGAGCATTTCTCCATGGTCTCATTGTGTCTCAGCCCTAGGCGGGGGAGATGTGGTGCACGTAGAAGATGCCCTTGGGATGACCTAAAGTCTTTGATTGTCTTCTTTCTTGACATCTGTGAGCAAAAACGGTGGCATGTGGAAGCTAGAAAGAATGCGAAGGATGGTGGGGATGTGCTTCTGAATATATTAAGCCCCATTCGTTAGGAAGAAAGGAATAAGGAATTATCTCCCTCTTAATCAGATTAGAAATGTGAGAAGCTAGCCAATGAGAGTGGGATTGCCACCCCCTCCCCGACAGGGAGACACTAATTAGTAATTAGTGGGGTAACTGTCCCCAGATGAACTCTAGCCCCTGTTCAGGGAGTTACTGGCTCACCAGTCAAGCTCTTTCTGGAAACAATGGAAGAGAGTTCTGTAGGGTGGGTGAGCCGCTCCAGAATTTTCCATAAATGTTTAAAATGTTACTACAGAATCCACTGCCAGAGTGAATACTCTCTTTGTAGATAAGAAAACAGTGCACTGACCAGCATCATACATAGGCACCCCACCGCTAACATGATGTTCTGACGGATGGTCCGGACGGTAGGAAAGGCTGTGAACCCCGGCATAAATGGCACAACGGTGGGGAGCCGCTGCTTAGAGGCCAGGTCCCCAGGTTCCCCAGACTCCCGGTGTCCTGGCAAGAGGGATGGTTTCCCTCCAGCTTGCTTCTCTGCCTCAGCTCCGAAAAGTGCAAAGCAAGCAATACCCGTGCAGCAGTTTAGCCAACCTGAGCCCAGCTCGTCCCTTCAGCGAGGGTCCGTGACGTGGCTGCCTGCCTGCGGGCGTTTCGTACCAGGCAGTGGGTGGAAACGAATAGGACAGAGCCAGGCAGCTTGTGGCCGGGCTTTCCTTTTCATGTTACATTAACTGGTGCCTGCCTTTCCAGGCTCGAGGAATTGTAACTGTAATCCTTCATTCCTCTCCCCTCCTCACGGCAAAAAGGAATGGATGGCTTCAATTTTCAATTTGGGAAAAAGGCAGTTAGTTATTTGTCTTTGATTTGAGCCTTCGACATGCCAGGGTGGCAGGGGCTTTGGCTGCGGCCAGCCCGTTCTTTTTTTTTTTTTTTAAGATTTTATTTATTTATTTGACAGAGATCACAAGTAGGCAGAGAGGCAGGCAGAGAGGAAGGGGAAGCAGGCTTCCCGCTGAGCAGAGAGCCCGATGTGGGGCTCGATCCCAGGACCCTGAGATCATGACCTGAGCCAAAGGCAGAGGCTTAACCCACTGAGCTACCCATGCATCCGGGGCTGGCCCGTTCTTGACAAGGACAGTTGGACTAGGAGACCTGTGGAGGGAGGAGGAGAGTTAATGCATCATGCAGAGGGACAATGGAAGAGAGGGTGCAGGGGTGGGGGGGCGGGTGGAGAGGAGCAGGCAGGACCCAGGAGGAAAGAAGTGGGTTTGCTGGGATTTTCTTTTTTTTTTTAATTGTATTATATTTCTTTTCAGTGTTCCAAAAGTCATTGTTTATGCTTGCTGGGATTTTCTATCCTCAGCTCTCACATTATTTTCTGTTTCTTGT